TTTATTTGGTTTTATTGGTTTAGGTAGACCAGATCTCGATGCCGTAGTATTTTCCCATTTTTGTTATGCCTTTTATATTTGTGTTTGTTTTTATTTTTAAAAAGAAAGTTAATTTGGATATGGTGTGTAGCACCAGCCCATGACCAAAGGATAACCTCTAGTGAGTTAGGGGCCTGGAAAGAGGCTTGAAGTCTACTGAGGCAAGTCACACCTGGCGAAAGCATGGGTGCATCACTTTACGGGTGGATTAAGTATAGTTATTATTAGGGAATGTAAATTTCTTAGTGTAGTTTAATCTCAATAAAAAGTGGCAGGACAGCCGAATTATAAAAAAAATTAAATATAAAAGACTTGAGTGATAATTAGTAAAAAATCTTTATTTTATATTTGAGTACTGTTAGAGAAAAACTTGGCATCAAGCTTTCAATTATATTTTATTCCAAATATAATCTTTAACAAATTAAACTGATTTTGTCTGTACAAAATATAATTAAAAGCTTAATGCCAGATTTTCTCTTGATATAATGCTAGGTAGAAAGTACAAAACCAATCAATTAACATAAGTAATATAATTATTACAATAATGAAAGTCTTTTATATTAATTATTTAAACAGCTTATAGCCTTGAATTATATAAACTTATATAAACTAATACTAACCTTTTTTGATTTAGATCAATTTGATAATAACTTGTAATCTGTATAATTGTCAAATTTGCTGACCTGCATAGGTTGGCTCTATTTAGATAACTTCTCTACTTAAAGATAGGGTATATATAGATCATTTTCATATGATCTACATAGTATATTAGATTTTTATATAGTAAATAAAAAATGTTTCTAATTAATATCTTAATCAATTTATATAAAATTTATATAATATATAATTTAAATAGCTTATTTATAATATTGAAGTTGCACAATATACATTGCTTTAAAAAATTAACTTCATATATAATTAAATTTTCTTAGATTACTATATATTTTTCCTAGATAATACAAAAAATTTACTAATTCTGATTGGTTAAATCATACATCTTCCCCAGTATCGCCACCAAAATTCTACAAATATGTGATCATGTCAAAAAATCTTTAAGTTCATTTAAGATAGGATTAGAGCTATGTTAAGGTTATAATTTTAGTATTTTAATAGTAAAATCATTTAAGAAAATTTTTTTGTTAATGCACAAAAGGTGGTTTTCTATACAGATTTTTGAGTTATAAACGATTTTTGACAAAACGAACATTTGTTTTGAATTTTCCTGATCATGTTACATTACTCCTGATCTTGAAATCTGATTGGTTTGCGACACAAAAATATCACGTGTCTGTAGAATTTTGGTGGTGATACTGATGTTTATATACAATTATATGATATCATATACACAAAATTAATTTACAATCTATTAATATTTAAATAAAACCTTAACCTCAAAGAAGCTAATTTACAAAAAAAGAAGTTAAAATTATATATTAAAACCTGATTATAATATATATATATATTAAAAAAAAAAAAAGAGAAGTAAGCTTTTAATAAAAATCATTAGATAATAAATAATACTACTCCTATTCTTTAACTCTAACCCTAATTTTGGTTAAGACAATAATACTTATCATCTAATTAGTTTTTATTAAAAGCTTATACAGTATATATAAAATCAGATTCTTATACAGTATATGATTTTAACTTTTTACCTCCTTTCTCCAAAAAAATCATCTGATTCTTGTTACCTTTCTTATAATCTAAGTATATATCATACAGTAGTTATAAACTTTAAAATATAGTAATATACTGTACTTTTGCCTTATACTGTTTATATAAATACTTTATATACTCTGTTAACAGGTTTTGTATATACAATACTTTTTATCAATTTGAAACACTAACTGGGATATAGGGATAGGTTAAGAGCCTACGTATACCCCGGGTGCATTTTAAAGACGTTCAAAGATAAAAACCATGTCTTTATTAAGTAATCTAGTGTTCTTATAATACATATTGCATTTCAGATTATCCAATCATCATCTAGTTCAAAATATGTAAAAATGCATCGTTAATAACGTCATTAACTACGATGTAAATATAGTTTATAATAGGTTATTTTTTTTGCAAAGCCGGTGCTACTAGAAAATGCCATACCACGCCTTACCTGCGCTCAATCAGCAGTTCATTGTAGATTCGAAATACGAATTCATACGCGAGCTGGGACAAGGAGCTTATGGCGTTGTTTGGTAATTTCTTTTGTTTGATTTTCGGACATACTTAGATTGTCAGGAAAAGCTCGTTTTACTCGTTATTATAACATATTTTTAACTTATTATCAACCAATGTTTTCTACTACTAATTATAAATAGCGCAGCAAAAAATACTGAGACTGGTGAGCAAGTGGCAATCAAAAAAGTTACAAAAGTCTTTGAGAAAAACATTCTAGCTAAACGCGCTTTACGGGAGGTGAAACTTTTGAAACATTTCAGTGGCCATGAGAATGTTAGTTCAGTTTATCTATTGAAGTGCAAATTTCATATAGAATTGGCTCTGATCAGAATTTGAATATCTCCTGTACTCAGCCACGTCTTTTTTACTCTTGGTTGCTGACATATTCGTTTGTTTGATTAGATTACATCAATTATTGATATGGATATAACAAATGTTAACGATTTCAACGAAATGTAACGTATATCATCGGATCGTATATTCGCTTGCAAACATATTTCAATTTTTGTATAAATCATTTTTTATGAACACCAATTTGTACAGTTATCTATTTCAAGAACTCATGGAAGCAGACCTTCACCAAATTATACGTTCAGAACAACCATTGACAGACGCACACTTTCAATATTTCGTGTACCAAATTTGTCGGGGATTAAAATATATCCACTCGGCAAATGTATTGCATAGAGATTTAAAACCCGGTATGCTTGAGTATAAATGGGAAATGACGAACTAAAAGACTTTTTTTTTCAACATCCATTAACATATTACCAACTTTAGGTAATTTATTAGTAAATGCTGATTGTGAACTTAAGGTAATATATATGACATGATAAAAATCAAACACATATATATTTATTAATTATGTTTATATGATCCGTGAATTAGATTTGCGATTTTGGTCTTGCCCGTGGTTTCTCAGATTCACCCGATCACAATGCTGGATTTATGACGGAATATGTTGCGACACGGTGGTATAGAGCTCCTGAAATAATGTTGAGTTTTCAGAATTATACTAAAGCCAGTAAGTATTTCATTTTTGCATTATATACATATCATCTTAGGAACTAATTCCGCTCATGATCATTGTTATTTATATGGCTTGTTTATATGATGTAAAAGTTGATATGTGGTCCGTTGGTTGCATCTTTGCGGAAATGCTTGGTGGTAAACCTTTGTTTAAAGGGCGTGATTATGTTGACCAATTAAATCAAATTCTGGGAATCTTGGGTACTCCAGATGAAGAAACTTTAAGAAGAGTTGGGAGTGAGAGGGTAATGATGTCAATTTAACACTGCAATTTCGAGAAATTGGCGTATTTATGTTGAATTGAGCCTTTATTGTATCTTTCATTAGGCTCAGGTTTATATCCGTAGCCTACCAAAAATGCCAAAAGTTCCTTTCTCATCACTTTATTCTAAGGCAAATATTTTAGGTGAATATGAACTTACAAATAGCCTTTATTTATTGTTATCTATAAATGATAATAATAATGAATTACAATATTTATGTTACTCTTTAGCGCTTGATCTATTAGAAAAACTTCTCAAATTCGATCCTGCCGCAAGGATCACTGTTGAGCAAGCCTTAGCCCATCCTTATTTAGCTGCATATCATGACGAAGAAGATGAGGTTAGTAAAGTGAATTTTATTATATCGAGCTAAACTGCTTGTTATTCATTCCACATTTACGTTGCTATTAGCCGGGGCATGATGAAATGTTTGATTTCTCGTTTGAATCTGTTGATTCGATAGAAGAGATGAAGAGTGAGCTTACTCTTAATTCAATGTTACATTACTTCTAGCACTCCTCTTTATTAGTATTAAATAAAAAAATATAATATCAGAAATGATTGCCCAGGAGGTGATGTCTTTCAAAGCATCCAAGCAAGCATCGTTAGGATTGAATTGTGCACAATTAGGACGTAAAGCAAGGTGATTAATATTCTTTAACAAGTAATATACTTTTCTGATTTTATTCTCATTTCCCTGATAATCACTATAGTACTTAAATGACCATGTCTGCTTTTAACAAGTTTGTCAGCGCCTGACCGCGACGCGTTAGCTCAGCAGCGTCAACAAACTAATCGCAATTCTTTCTACGAATATGGCGCAGCTAGTCAACATGCAGCTATACCTTCAGCGAGTATGGAAGTGGATGAATTAGAAAAAGAGTTAGGTGGCATGTTGCAATAACAAAATTTACGGCATATGTGGTGATTGACTTTAAAAATCGAAAATATGGGCTTTTTAACGTATTTATTGTGGAGAATTTATGCATTTTCCCAGAACAAGAATATACTTACGCGTTGTATATTCTTGTCCTGAATAAGCTTGACATACATCAGCTAATATTTATTTTTTGTCAACCACAAAGATTACTTTAATTCGCTGTTGAGCACTATTAAAAAAAAGTTGGTATGTTTTTTAATTTGGTTTTAACCCGTTTTATTAAATGGATTTTCTTAATAAATTAAAATTGTGATAAGTTAATGTTGATATTTTATTTTGATATTGTTTAATTATGGTTACTGTGGTTTTAATAGTCAAAATTACTGTGTATTATTTATTCCCGAAGTTGTGGGAATAAATGTTTATGTTTTACATAACTACATGGTGATAAGGCTATGCAAAATTAATTAATTGGTTTTTATAACCCAGCCGGGTCAAATTTTGGAAACTTTTAAAAAAATTTTTTATATGCTTAAATAACTGGGTGGGTTTAAAAATTTTTTTTATATATATGAAATTTAAAAAAAAATCCGGCTAGCCGAGTCTATTTAAAAGTTTCATGTTATGAAAACCAAGATATTAAATTTGTATGGCCTAATTTACAATGATAATTATTTACATTATCAATCACTCT